AAAAGCTCACTTATTTCCTAAATAATCCTCTTCAATTCTTTTCTTTTTTCCCTTTTTTTGTTGCCCAAGGGAGGGGTCAGTACCAATGACCCCCTTCCCCAGATCTGCCAATATAAATTGCGAGAAAATGTAACTCGGTCGGGTACTTGATAAACATTCTCTTTCCCATCCTTCTTCCCTCCTTCATTTTTTGCATTTCCGATCATACAAAAATCTCCACACATTATATATTTTTCGCCAAAAAGTGGGGGGGGGGTGGCGGGCCCCCCGCTTCCGCCGGCCATGAAGGCCAAGGGATTCCATTCAACTCAACAATGCCTAAATGCTACTAGGACCTACGTATTGTACTGACTAAAGGCCTATCCACCTCTTGCCTATCGTTGAGTTACAAATCTTAAGTATCTATCATCATTTTAATAATAACAATTTTTTTAACTATGTCACAACACAAACAATTGTTATTACTATATTACAATACCACAAAGGTGAGCTTTTGTAGTAGTATTAATGTATGATAATATTTTCCCAGGTGTCTCTGCCCATGGAGTATTCTTTACTCCATGCTCTGTCCATATTAATGCCAGTTCACAGTGGTTCTCCATTCCGTTGTTCTACAAGAGCAGGAATTAAAATCAAATCACAATTTGTTATTCTCTGTAGGTTAATCACTTCTGTGGCTTAATTATTTGATGTGTTTTTTTGTTTGTTTTTTTTTTAAAGGTAAGAGGGAAACATGGTTTGGTTCCATCAAATTTTATTGAGGAAATCGCTATGTCAGGAAGGAACCATTCAAAGGTAATATTACTATTTTGTTCATCTTCTGCTATGGTATTATAAGTTACATTCCATTGTTGTCTCCTGGAGTTATAGGTTTTAAGATTAGTCAGTGTATCACGTTGCAGTTTTTATACATTTACAACTCCCAGCCCTCATAATTAACGCCACATTCGGCAATGCCGACGTAAATGGCGGCATACAGCCGCCCAACGCCGACGAAAAAATCGCTGACGTGAAGATTTTAGGCATAGCCCAAGCTATACCCAGGCCTACGCTGGTACTAGTTTTACCAGTTGTGGTAGACACGACAGGATCGCTGTAAACACAATATTAAACTTTATTCTTTTATGTTGTATTATGAGTAAAATGTGAATAAAATCAAACTGGATTGTACAGTACGTTTCATGCTCTTATATTGTTTTACCTGCATTTTCGGTCTGACACATTCTTCATGTAAAAATTAGGTCGTACCTCCTAAACTCTGCCTACTAATTGGTAAATTTTTTTTCGTGGGGTCATGGATGGGCAAAATGTGCTTGGCTGTGATGACGTCAGATCGCCCATGTTTCGTAGTGCGTGACAGCTTGCAGACAAGAACGAGCTCAGTGTAATCAGATTAATTTTTAAATAAACAGATTTATTAAAACAAATAAGAAACCCTCGCGGTTTTGTTTTACAGTCAAGTCTAAAAAATTTAAATTTCATTCTCTACCAATTTCCTCCATAATTAGCAACATGTTTTTGAGGAATGAGTGAAGCCATGCATTTGTAATTTACACTGATAAATCACATTCAAATTAAACATCTACTGAAAAATAGTCAGCTGTCGTAGAAACTTGCTTTGGGTTCCGTCTTCATTTCAGGTTGATTGCAATCGATTTTTAAGGATTAGGCAAGGCGATAATGCACTTTATAAACAATATTAAGGCGTAACTTTCAATTTATGTAACAACGTTTAGGCCTACCGGTGTTTCGTTTTAATTAATAGACTCTGTGGCAACACTACTGGGACTGAGCTAACTGTACGATGCGTCATAACCGTCGCGACGGTTCATTCAGTGATTATTGCGTTATTTCGTCTGGAAAAATCATTGTTTGTTAGCTATTAACTGTTTTTTCGGTTTGTAGAATTTGATTTTTATGCTCTGGACCTAATTAAAACATTCGGAATTCAGAGGATTCCACTGTATTTTATTTTTGTAGTTTCATTTTATTCATCATCATAAAATAAACATTGTTCAACATTTTATCCATAATTAGTTGTGATTTGAACATAGTGCATAGGCTAGGCTTTCCAGCTTAATTGGGTGACTTGAAAAGACATCCATCACTGCTACAACAGGTCAGCATGGATTGATTTCAGGGTTGTAGGCTGAAACTAAAAACTGCCGGCGTCAATTTCATAGCGCCGGCGATTTTCTTCTCTTTTTTTTTTTGCCGACATACTTTTTTTATAATTTTGAGGGCTGCAGTAACTCAACTCCATGAAAGCACCCCATTCGAAAGAAAACTAAATGAAATAACACTGAAATAAACGGAAACTAATACTCTGTGCCTTTATGAAGCTGACAATTGATTCATTGTTCAGCAAGACAGAAAAAGAATTGTAAAAGAAATAAGAATTTTAAAATACAACCTTTGTTGAGTTTTTATATGTAGTTTGAAAAGGACATTTGGAAATTTATTACTTTTTTTCAAAGACAGAAAATTTATAGTTCTGAACTAGACAAAAGAGCAAAGTTGATTATAGTGGTTAAACAGATATAACTTAGCTTGCTGAACCAGTTGTTGATTCATAATATAAAAAAACAGAAGCTGATAATGCTTTTTCCATTTGGCTTATCAATGGTTTTGAATACCATGCTGGTTATTAGCTTGTTTGTGTCTTTGTTCGATCAATGCACTTTAGTTATCGAGTCTCTTCACCTACCAAGTTTGGCACGGTTTGAGTGATGTGGCAAGTATTTCCAATGATGTGAAAGAATAATTTTGATTAATTTTTTTATAGGTGTATACAACCTTTTTTAACTTTTGAGTAGAACATGCATTGTCAGTACAGGTTAGTTGAGCGAGCCATGGCCCATGGGGACAACCTGTCTCTGCTAGGTTCAGGGAGAGGGACAAAGATCAGTTCTGTTGGGCTAGAAGACTAATTCTTGTAATTTATTTGTAACCATTCTCTCAGTTGTTACAAAGGATAGTATAGCTGAGATGTAACAGGTCATAGTAATAAATGTTTTTTTTTATATTGCAGAGGAAACGAAGCAACAATCGTAGCAACAAATCAAGTGAACAGACGCGTACTTCTGAAGCTCGACGATCACATAAAACTCTTCCAATACCTTGTAAAAAAGACTCAAGTGTTACAAAACAGAGGAACCTCCAACCGGAACAAAATATATCTAGTTACAAGCAGTGGTGATTATCAAGCATATTATTTTTAAGTACTGTAAGTGTATTACAGTTTAAAGCTACATGAATAATCATTTTGAGCCAACTTTGATGGCTGTGGTGGATTTTAAACTACAGTGGTGGTACTGAGGTTTTTCTCCTTCAGGTTCTTGCCATATTTAGGTCTATTTTCATTCATCTATGCATGCTGAAAATTTAAACATCCAGGTAGTTCTCTTCCTGATAGGGTGTGAAGTACTGTAGTATGTACCAACATTTATATGTGCTCACTATTGTACACTTACCATAGAAATGATAATAGAGAATATTTTAAGGTCACAAAAAAACATTACAGATATTTTTTCTTTTAAATTGTACAATATTAATCATTAATGTTTTTTTACAATCATGTTGATAAAAGTGTGCTGGAATTTATATATATTTATCACTAAATTATGATGGGAAAATATTAAACAACTTCAAATTACTGAAATGATAATGATCAAGGCTTTGATATGCAATTTATATATATAACTTAAATTTAGAAAAAAAATTGGCAACCAAGTTAGAACCGAGATATCAGTTTGTGTTTAACTCACTTCAATATAAAATTGTTTAGGATTTTAAAGTATGGACTATTTATTGTAAACAGTACATGCATTTATCATCAACATAATTGGCTTTTCCTGGATTAGCAGAAAAATTCATAAACTTTTACGTCAATGAAATTTTCGTTTTCCAAAGCATATCAAACTAGCTACAGCTAACACGAAATTAAGGTAAAACGTATGAACAAGGTAGGCAAACTAAAATTGCACTGAACTCTGCAGAGGCGGGTTCTTTAGTGTAACACTAAGAACTCTCAACATCACTCTAGCTATTAACACTGCAGCCATAGTTTGAGTCTCACTGACATTGACTCAATAAACTAGGTACTGTAGTGTGTTCAGTGCTTTTGGGTCATAAGTACAATTACATCTGGTTTTCTGAAGAAATTTGGTGTGCTGGAATTAATATCTTAGAATTTTGTTCATAATTAACTTTCAGAAAACAGTTGCTGTACCAGAACCAGTACTGGTAGCAATACCAATATCAAACATTGGCTAGTGTTTGGTGATCTTTAAGGTCTGTCCACACTACATGGACAGTCATCTTGATTTGTCCATATATGGCTATAATGATGTCATTTTACACCCATATATATGTATTTGTCACTTAAAAACCTGATTGTGTAAACAGATTTTTAGCTTCAAGAACCTAATATAACATATAACTTTAAGTAAATTAATTTTTGTGTTGTTTTGAAAGATCATGTGTAATGCTCTGTCCAAACAATCAAATTTCATTTGACAACGATTTGGGGAGGGTTTCTACCTTAGAAATGCCCGAAATCATAAGCTTTGAAGGCTGATTTCTCAAATATAGTTCTTTAAAGAACTGTATGTTTAAACTTCTGTAACTTCATAATGAAATGTCGGATTTAAATGATTGTCTTACCATTTTATATGTCTCATTTTATTGTTAAACCCTGTATTAATAACTAAAAATGTTTTTTTGCGACGAATGACTGGTTTGGCTTGACTTTGCCACATATTAGGCCAAAAACAAAATTGTTTGTTTGCCCTTCTCCACCCGCCCCTAACTCACTGAAAGAAATAGGGGCGGAAAAACAAAAAACATTTTAAAAAAAGGTGGTTTTTTTTAGCTTTTTTCTTTACAAAAATTTAAAAAATGTGAGTGAATTTATCTTTATTTTTTGCCAGATGCCCTACAAATTAATCTAAAGTTCTAGGCCTCTGGGTTATATTTATTCCATCTGATGAGTATTTAAAAAAAATAAATTAATTTAAAAAAAACTTTTTCCACCCACCCATATTTATCATTTTTAAAAAAAAGAAGAACAAACAAACAATTTATTTTTATTTGGCCTTATGTTGCTTTATAGTTTGACCCAGAATGATTGACACATTGTAAAATGCAAATACAACACAAATGTTTACTGAAAGCTATTTCAAGCAACACGTCTATGGATTACTATTGTTAGTTACAAGAATGAATTACAGAATAAACATATTCACAACAATGGAGATGACAACTATGACTTTCTAACTACGGAGGTATCTATGTTCCAATTTAATTATAATTTAATTTTCTCATTAATATAAATATGAACTTTTAAATCATCTTGAGACTTTGCATTCCATGGTAGCTTCGTTTTGATATGGTTTATCTGTATAAATATATAGTTAAAAATATACGATATAATACGTTTTATTCATAAGGTAGATTAATATATTAAATCATCAATTGATGCAATGTAATGATGTGCACTACTCTCGCGTATGCTTGTGGGAATGACACATTAGCAAAACACAAACCTGGGAAAGGTTTTTGCCACACGTTTGTTTTTTTAAGAACATGTGATTTACCGGTTTGATACTATAGGAAGTGGTATCTTTACAAATTGAAGAATCTCGTATTGGGAATTAAAAACTAAACAAAAATTGAAAACAGTGTGTTCGACCCTCATTTCATTCATTCATGAATAATGAATACCGTAATGATTCAAGGTTTTGCATAGTCCGATCATACAACTGCCATCGAGGAGGTGAGTAATATTTTCTGTTGCTCGAAGTTGGTTCCCTTAAAGGACCTTTATTTATTCGGTATAAAAGCATGAAGTTACAAACAACAGCCAAGGCTGGAATGGTTTGTATTACATATTACAAACACAAAAACATTCAATAAAAAAAATACATCAATATTTAAAAATTTATATAAAAGGATAACAATTTCGAAAATTATTAAAAATATAAACATACATCAACGGCTGAGGCTATCGGCACTGCCGCAGTGCGAAAAAAAGCTGCTGTTTTCTATCGGCACTGCCGCAGTGCCAAAAAGCTGCTGTTTTCTATCGGCACTGCCGC